CTCTTTGCTATGGGCACATCCTACCAGGGGCCCTACTCCAGGCTCTCCTCATTGCAATTTATCTTCTATGCAATTGTCAGGTTAATCTTATCATGGAATCACAACATTGCTTAAAATAACCTTCAATAGCTTCTCATGCTGTCCAAATTATAAACAAATTCCATCAGCCAAGAAAACACTAAATCCTAATCTTGTGTATTTTCCTTAACATTTTTAAAATATGTTTTTATTGATTTCAAAGAAGAAGAGAAAGGAGAGAGAGAAAGAGAGAGAGAGAGAGAGAGAGAGAGAGAGAGAGAGAGAGATCAATGAAAGAGAATCCTTGATCACCTGCCTCCTGCACACCCCACACTGGGGACTGAGCCAGCCGGCAACCCAGTCATATGCCCTGACCAACCGGTAATTGAACCGTGACCTCCTGTTTCATAGGTCAATGCTCAACCTCTGAGCTATGCCAGCCCAGCATTTTCCTTAACATTTTAAGAAATTATCTAGTTCATCATTCTATTTTTCAGATAAAGAAACTTATGCCCTTGGCTGTAGTGTCTTTTCTTTGAGCCACACAGTTGGCAGAGCAGTTTTCTGGTTTTCTGGGTGTATAATGGAGGATTCTTAGAACTCTACTATGCACCTCTCAACGATGGAAATGCTTAAACTACATGCTGCCATCTTTGTTGAGTCTCTTCTCCCCTCTCTTGTTCCACTTATGTAAAAATGTATACCAAAATTATAAGTATAAAGATTTCTTTGCAGTACACCTGGGGATGCAGTTATCTCTTAGAGATCCTGATTTCAATTTCTTTGGATAAATACCCAGAGGTGAAATACTGGATCACATGGTATGGTAATTCTATTTTTAATTTTCAGAAACCTTCACACTGTTTATTGTAATGGCTGTACCAATTTAAATTCTCACCAACAGTATACCAGAATTCCCCAATCTCCACATGCTCAGCAACATTTGTTACCTTTTCTTTTTGATAATAGGCAGTTTAACAAGCATGAGGTGATATTGTGATTTTGATCTCCATTTCTCTGATAGTGAGCACCTTTACATGTATCTGTTGGCCTATAGTTAACAATACTATAGTATATACTTAAATTTGATAAGAGGGTAGGTATTATGTTGTGTTCTTACCACAACATAATAATACTAGAGGCCCGGTGCATGAATTCATGCACCAGGGGGATCCCTAGGCCTGGCCTGCAGGACTGGGCTGAAACTGGCTCTCTGACATGTCCTGAGGGGTCCCAGATTGCGAGAGGTCAATCATACTGCAATAAAATAGTTAAGATAAGATTTCTATGCAAGTTCTACAAAATAAGCTTTCTAAACTCACCAGCAATATTTATTCCCCCTGTAAAACATACTGACTGATGTTTTAGTAGCTAGTTTAATACTCATAGCTCATTCTCTGTGTCCTCAGTACCCCCAGTAAGTGAACTGTAGGCTACTTGTTTTTTTTTTCAATCATCATAATTATTGTAATGGAAATTTATACAGAATATCAAAATATGGTTTATGAAAGGAGGATAATATGGAATTCCAATTTGCAGAACTACATTAAAAGGCCCTAACTCTACATCAAATGATTATAAATAAATCACATATATAAGTTTTAGCTTGAAAGAAAATGTTTGGTGTAGGTTAAAATCATTTTTATGACTTGTATATGAAACCAACTTTATTAACTAGTTAACCTAACCATCAACCAAATAGAGTTGAACAAAATGACTTCTGTTTTGCTTGTCTATATGATTCTCTTTTCTAAAGCATGAAATAGATCTTCAAGAGTAAGGAATAGATTAACTCAACCACTGACTATGTGTTAAGCACTGTGTTCATGAATAAATGGCAGGTAAATAAAACATGTTTGCTTTCGCCTGAACAGCCAAGACAAAATAAGATAATGTACATGAAATCACTTGGTAAACATTAATCACTATACAGATGTTAATGAATGTACTCCGTGAGAAGCAACCTGGAAGTTGCTTCAACTTGACCCCCCATCCTGTCTGATTTTCCTTCTTTTATTAAAAAGGGAACCCCCATGCAGCCCCCTGATTTTTCATTTCTATTTTACTGCTTGTTCCTGATTGTTAAATCCATTTGCTCATGTTAACATTTAATACATATGTACTATATACCTGAAATTATGCTACTAACTGGAGATACTTTCAAAGCATCTGCCATTCCACATAGTTCTACACACACACACATACACACACATACACACACACACACAGACACACACACACTATTTAATAGATTATTTATAAGAAACACATAGTAGAATAAAATTCAGAACTGGATTCTGGGACTTCTTTTAAATGTTGTGTATCCAATGTTTAAAATAATGGTTCAGTTTTATTTTTAATTAAAACATGTAAACACAGAGTCACAGTGTCATTATGGTTTTTTCTTTGCTTGTTTTTCCCCCCACTTCTCTGAGCATCCACATTTCCTGGTGCCAACTAACTCACCCAAGGGGGCAGACAGGTGAAGCACAACAGAATGGTGCATAAATCCCCCAAGGGTATTTTTATTTCAATTATGTAAACAGCAACATCATCATGGTCCCTTATAAAAATTTTCCATTCATAGTGATAAATGGGTGACCTTCACTTAACTCACTCTAAATAAGGGTAAGAGAAGTCTAAAGGCCAAGGCAAGTAGCTGCTCTCAGATCATAAATAGTACTTGTTTGTGTCTAGAATAAGATGTGTTTGATGACTTGAAGCTGCACCATGAGTAATTTAGCTTAGGTAAACAAGAGAAAAAAATTTTTGGAAGTGAAGTTAATGACAATAATTCACCTTGTTGTCTGGCATTGGTCTTTCAACATCTATATTTTTATACCTTCTAATTATCTACATCTTGAAAGGTAAGACCCTCCCCTCTTATCACTGGTCTCTGATCTCTAAACCCTCCATGCTTCTGATTATACTTACTCTCTACTGTTGTGTTCACTTCCATGAGCCTGATACCTATTAAGAAATTCCAAATCCCAAAAAAACTACAATTTGTCAGTCACAAAATAGTCCTGGAAATGTAAAGTACAGCATAGGGAATATTATAATAACTATGTATGGTATCAGGTGGGTACTGGAAATATTGGGAGGACACTTTGCAAAGTATCTGATGATCTAACCACTATGTTGTACAACTGAAACTAATACAAAAATATTGAATGTAAACTGTAATTAAAAATAAAATTAAAGAAAAGAAATTCCGAATCCCATATAAATGTTTTGTTTTCATCTATTTAGTTAATCATAGCAAAAACTGTGCTTCTTGCCAAAGGAACTAATAAGTTATTCATCTCTAATAAACATAGGATATAGCAATATGCTCTAGGTTTTTTTAGTACAATAAGAAATAAGGTCAATTTTAAATTTAAGGAATTTTGCACAATATCTCATATGTACTATATTAATCTGTCTATAAATATCTATTACCTTGAAAATAAAACGTTATTTTGAGGGTTAAGTACATAAAATTAACACTTATTACCTAATTATTGAAATAAAAATTATTGAAG